TTTTTTCTGTCTGATTAATCTGTCTTTTGGAGTGAGTGGTGTATTAAAGTCTCCTAAAATGAATGCATTGCATTCTGTTTCCCCCTTTAATTCTGTTAGTATTTGTTCCACATATTTAGGTGTGCCTATACTCCTATATTGGGTGCATAGATATTTATAATGGTTATATCCTCTTGTTGGACTGATGCCTTTATCATTGTGTGATGTCCTTCTTTGTCTCTTACTGCTTTCTTTGTTTTGAAATCTATTTTGTCTGACATAAGTACTGCTACTCCTGATTTTTTTTCCCTATTTTTTGCATGAATTATCTTTTAACCATCCCTTTACTTTCAGTCTGTGTGTATGTCTTTGGGTTTGAAGTGAGTGTCTTGTAGGCAGCATATAGATGGGTCTTGTTTTCTTATCCAATCTGTAACTCTGTGTCTTTTTATTGGTGCATTCAGTACATTTACATTTAGGGTGATTGTCAATAAATATGTACTTATTGCCATTGTAGGCTTCAAATTTGTGGTTACCAATGGTTCAAGGGCAGTTTCCTTACTATCTAACAGTCTTTCTTAACTCGCTTATTATCCTATTACAAACACAATCTAAAGGTTCATTTTTTACCCCCTTCTTCTTTTTCCTCCTCCAGTCTTTACATATTAGGTATCCTATTCTGTACTCTTTGGGTATCCCTTGACTAACTTTGTGGAGTTGATTCAATTTTGCATTTGCTTTGTAATTAACTGGTCTACTTCCTTTACTGTGGTTTTATTTTCTCTGATGGCAGTTGTTTAGCCTTAGGAGCACTTCCATCTATAGCAGTCCCTTTAAAATACACTGTGGAGGATGATTTATGGGATGTAAATTCCCTCAACTCTTACATATCTGGAAAGTGTTTAATCCCTGCTTCAAATTTAAATGATAATCTTGCTGGATACATTATTCTTTGTTCGAGGCCCTTCTGTTTCATTGCATTAAATATATCATGCCCCCTCCCTTCTGGCCTATAAGGTTTCTGCTGAGAAGTCTGCAGATAGCCTGATGTGCTTTCCTTTTTACTTGATCTTTTTTCTTACTCTGGCCACTTTTAATACTCTCTCCTTGTCCTTGATCTTTACCATTTTAATTATTATATGTCTTGGTGTTGAAAGACAGTTTTATTCAAAAAAAGAAAAGCAGTCTTAGGTAAGTTGTATAGAAAGAGTTATAATGGCCTAGGCAAAATAACTAGTTTTGCTCCATATAGGATAGATCACTGTGTTAGTTGCTAGATTGGAGTTCAGCAAAATAAGCCTCATTCTGAGACTGCAACAGGACGTAGCCACTTCTAGTTAGCACAGTGCAGAAATTCATGTTCCATCTAGTTATGGACGTGCATAAGACCAACTTCCCCAAGGCCTCTCAGCCTTATTTTAGGGCCCTTTGACATTCCTGACTCCATTTCAGATGTTTCTATTCATATTATTTAACTATGATTATGTTAATTCCATAGTGGTTATAAGATAGTATTAGGCCTTTGCACTTTGAGTTTTCTTACTGTTCCTCACTTCTCAATCATTTCCTTCCAAATGAAAAAACAATTTTTGCATTTTCTCAAAGTTAAGTAACTTTGAAAAAACAAACAAAAAACAGAGGTGGTTACATTTTGAAGAAACAACTGAAGAAAAACTGAAGCAAATCCAAAAAGAAATACAAGAACAGGAGACACTCCTTCAGGGATATCAACAGGTAAGGTGACTCTTCGCAAAAGAATTTGTTCTTGAGATCCTTTGGTTATAAAACTAAGCATATTAAAGTATTCCTGTGCTCATTTAACAGGTAATGGCAATTCTGGCAAATATGAGGAAGCAATAATTTGACTAGTCTGAACTTTTTCATGAACAGAATTCAAGTGGTTAAGAGCATGGGTTTGCATTCAAAGAATCTCATTTGGTCTTAGCTCCACCACCTGCTGTGCAGCCTTGGGCAAATCACTTTAACTTTCATATAACCCAGTTTCCTCATTTGTGAAATTGGGTATGATGATAGTAATAGGTGCCTCATAAGGAGTTTGTGAAATGAAAATAAGACAGTGCAAACCAACCTCTTAGTGCCTGGCACACAGTAACTAGCTAATGAATGTTGCCTGTTTTTTTAAATAGCCATTTCCTTAAAACTATCCCAATTTTCTTTAGTTTTCTATAACACTTTTCAGTGGAAGGTTTTGATATATTCAGAAATACAAATCTGAAATCAATTGGCATTTGCACTATGAGTGAAAAATGAATTAGAGAAAATCTTTGTGTCCTGCAGAAGGCAGACATTTGCGAACCGTGACGGATCCTTGGTGATGTTGACCTGACAGTTGGCCGGGACAGATTTAGTGATCTCTAGCCTGAGATTTCATCTCAGTTTCTTCCCCACCACTCCCTTTTTTTTTAAATCCCTCCCTTTCTCTCTCATCTTTTTCTCCTTTGACAGCATAGCCTAAGAATCAAGCCTGTCAATAACAAGCATTGTCTTCCAGGAACATCCAGAGAAAGCATTCCAGTGTCAGTGATTACATTTATTACCTGTGGAGTACTGATTTTAAAAGACACATTGCCCTGAAGTTTGTGAGAATCTTCCATACCCTTTGTCCGCCATTCTGATCATGCCATTTAGAACATGCATTTTTAAGGATTTCACAGACCCATTAACATGCTAGCTACCCTCTCCCACAAAGATAACACAAAATTTATGTATCTGTGTATATATTTATATTTTTTTCTGGTTTTCACTAATTCTACAAATATTAAGCACAGATCATCTGCCAGGCATTAGGCCAGATACAGTGAGATAGTGCATGGTTTTCATTAGATCTTCAAAGGTCCTTGATTTTCATCAGGTTCTTAAAGAGGTTAATAACCCAGAGCACCTTAGCACAGATTGGTACTTTCTGATCTCAGTTTGAGTCACTCAAGGCTGAGGGTAAACTGGGTCTAGTCCTTGCTCTCCCTCATCCTGACATTTTCAGAAATATCCAGTCTCTAAGTCTGGTCACAGAAAGTTCCAGAAACATGAACGCCCACTGTGACTATAACCAATTTCTTCATTTTCTTCATTGTGGGAAGCCAAGCCAGAAACAGAAAAAAGAGGGTGCAGATAGTCCCCCCGGCCTTTCCACCCCTGGTCCCCACAGTCAGAATGTGCTTATTCCTACAGCCACTCACCCACTTACTCCTGTGAAATGTGCAAACACTGACATAAGGCCCTTTGACTCCGGGCATTTTTGCAACCTTTTTTTCCAAGAAAACATTTTGGGAAGAATTGTTTTCAGGTAAAACTTTTTTTCTGAGATGATATAAGTAGTTTGAAAAAGATTTTGCTTACTGAAAAACTGAAAAATTTAAAAGACTTTAAAAATGTTTAAAGGATATAGCTGTTGTGAGCATATATACTTATGTTTTATAAGTACTAGCAACTTTTAACTATATGTGATTTTCTATTTATGAAGGAAAATGAAAGACTGTATAATCAAGTGAAAGATCTCCAAGAACAAAACAAGAAAAATGAGGAGCGAATGTTCAAGGAAAACCACGGTTTATTCAGCGAGTTAGCTTCCTTAAAGTAAGTCCTTTTTAAATTCTTAGAACCGAACAGACTATTTCTAAGTGTCTTATTATTATATTAAGAATACATTTATTTTTACTAAGAATGAAGATTTATAGTTTTGTAACTTTTATATTTTAATATTCAGTGGGTTTGTCTTAGTGTTAAATGACTAGTGGATACCTTGGTATTTTCAGCCTATTCATATTTGAGTTTGATTATCAGTTTTAGGAAACTGAATATACAGTATTCTTCTTGATCAGTCATTAAGCCTGAGATGCTTAACATTTCCTAAGGAACCATGGGATTAACAATAATAAAAAGTATGTGTCATACAATATCACGTAATGTCTTAGGAGAGGTTCCATACCACAGTAGTAGAGCCTGAGGCGGGGATCCTTGTGGAGGTCATCTCCTAGTGGATAACATTCAGGAGAAAGGGAGTAAGAGAAGCAAGATGGGGTGGGGGGAAGGCAAGTAAGCATATGGTCTCAGCTGGAGACTGGTTTCATTCTGCTCTCACCGGAAGCTTGGGAGAACAGACTGTCCCACAGAGTTGGTCTCTGCTTGAGGCAAGGGGGGCAGCCTTTTATACCCCTCGTCTTTTATACCACCGGCTGAGGTATGCCCCAGGAAGGGGCTGGGGGATATTCCCCAGGCCGTGGGGCAGGGCTCTCAGTGGGCTGAAGGCATTTCTCCAGAGGAAGAGAACTTCTGAGTTGTTGTCGACCAATGCTCAGTGTGGCAGGCCGGTGGAGCACCAGCCCTACTTAGGCGTCGTAGTTCGGACTGTAAGATCTTTTGGATGTTACTCCGTCCGACTTTAACATGTTAGGTAAAAGGCCGGATCCGCAAACATGGGCAAGTCAGGGTACTACCTTCTTTTAGGAAATGACTGCCGATTTGCATTTTCATAAATACCTAATCACTCAGATAGGACTGCTATTGGAGGAACTTCTTTGGCGATGAATGTCATGAACTTTCTTTTTATGCACATATTTCCTTCATTCTTTTGTTAGATAACCTAGGGAGTAAGAGGCAGGGTTGCTGCCAGCTCCAGCTGATCTTTATGCAAAAATAGCAAAAGGCACACCTTGTATAGTCTAGCTTTTAAAAAAGATCTATTCCAAAATCCAAAACTGAAGCTCTCAGTGGAACTTTCACAATTAAATGTTTCATTAGTGCATTAGGGCTAGATGCTCTTACATGGAGTCCTAAACTCCTTGTTATAGTATCTCTGGAAAAACAAATACAATTCTAATGTCCAAATAGTAGACTGTGTTTGGTTTTATTTGTCAGTTTCCACGTGTAATTGGCAATTTGTATTTCGCAGAAAGGAATCTAGAATGATGTGACAACCAACACACATTACCATAGGAAAAATGGGGCCCATTTTTCTGGGACATTGATTTTTTTTTTCTCTAAGAATTGGGAGAAAATATATTTAAAAACAACTTCAAGGTTCTATTCTTTCATATTAAACTTAAAATTTCCCTTAAAATAACTTCTTTTAGTATTTTAAACTTTAGATTAAATAAGCTTTTTTCCTTAGCATCTCACATAGTTTCAATATCCACTACAGCTTTTAATCTTTAAGAATTGAATATTTTGCATCAAATGGAGTACCTTGTAAAAAGCAAAATAAAATCTTTTTCTTTTCAAAATAAATCAGAGAGCAGATGCAACAAAGTCATTTCCTATCTCAAGTAGCTGAGACTTCAGAGCCTTCTGGAAACCGGAATTTTACAGATCTGTTAACAGAACTACGGGTGGCACAGGTAAGTTGCATAGGGATTTTAAATATCAATGAGAGTAAAGATTATAAAAATTCCTATGTGTGTAAAAAACTTTATTACTTTATGAGTAAATGTTTAAATTTCATACCATTAAAAAATTAAGAAATATCAAGATTAGCTTGTGACCTCACTGTAGAGAAAACAACATCACACTGGTTTTGGATGGCGTCTTTTTATAATCTGACCTCTTGCCAGGCACTTACCACGTGGAGTCATACTGGAGGCATCACCACGCTTGGGGCATGTACAGCTTATTCAGACAAATCTCTCATTGGAAATGTATGTCTAAAATAGGAAAATAATGTGTAGATGGTTATTCACCATAGAAAGTTTCGTTAGCTTTTAACCTGTCTCCTTAAGTGGACTGTGTACTTCTAAATGGCAGAGACTGTATCTACAACTATTTATATCACATTTTTCTAACATATATGTGAAATGCCATAGCTGCTACATAATTTTTTTCTCTATTTTTATTGATTTGTGTTATAAAACATATGGTTCTAGAATTTTCAAGAGCACATTTATCAATGGCAGAAGTTCTGAAATTTTGGTCAGGTTAATTCTATTTGAAGCAGAACAATTCCATGTACTGCATAACTTTTGTCACCCCTGTCACCAGGAACTATGTGCTTATAGCACCCACCAGTCATTTTAACCATCAAAACTACTGCCACATTTCAAAACATCCCCTGTGGGAGGGCAGTTAATTCTCCCCACTCCTTCCCATTAAGAACCATACCACTGAACTAAAAGGCCCTTCCAGTCTATTTGAATGATTGTATAAATTAGAAAAATTCCAATTACATGCCACCTTTAAGAAGAAATTTATTATATAAAATTAGATTACATAGAAATCTAAACATACCATAGTTTGATAACTGATGTTTAACAGGTTTTTGTAGTATATAAAGTACAGCTTCAAATATGAATCCATTAGGGAACTTTCTTTTGATGCATGTATGTATGCATGTATAGAATGATTAAAGAGTGAGTGCACTTTCCTCTCCTTATCAGTAGGCCTAAAAAATTAACAAGTTAAAAGAGTACCATATTTTATGAAGGCTGAAAAAAACATGATAAGGTTCCAACCATAGCATTAGTTTTATTCAAAGGCTGTTTTTAGTGACCTTTTACAAGTGTGCTGTTGGAATATACAGCTCTTGGAATATACACCCTTAACCCAGCTCACACAGTATTCCTACAGGTAAAAAACCCACTGATAATTACCTACAGTTAAAAATTATACAGAGAAACAAGCCATCGTGAGCCAGCATGCATAACTGAAACCTCGGAAGGCAATACTACAGATGGGGGAACTAATGCAGCAACAAATCAGTCTTGGTCCCCATAGAGCTTTCTGCCTAATAAAGAGAAGAGGCTTGTGCACAAGTCAATGTCATAGGAGACAGAAAGAGATAAATGCTAGACTAGCGGTACAATGAAAAGTTTATGGTGATGCAGTGGAGGGGATAGCAGGAATAGGCTCATTTGAACTAAGCTTTGAAGGGTAAGTATGATTTTTATCAAGTAGAGGAAGAGGGGCTAAGAGTAGCATGGAACATAGAGCATATTGAGAATTCATGCAACAGTGTTTTGATATGCCAAGCATTTTTTATGCATTTATGATAAAGGGATTACCAAAATAAAGTACTGCTTTCAAGTAAATACATGATGTCTTTTTTCAAGTAAATTTTAAGTAAGTACATAAAAGGTGGTGATAAGCATTACAAAAATAAAATAAAGCAACAGGAGTGGGTTTGCTGTGTTAGAAAGAACTTCGTGGGGCTTCATTTGAGCAGAAATCCTGATGAATAGAAAGTGAGCCGCCTACATATCTGGGGGCAGAGGACACAGAGCAGACACCTCGGGGCAGGAGTGTGCTGGGTCCGCTCAAAGAACTCAGCAGTCTCTGGCTGAAATGGAGTGGAGGGGTAAGATCTGTAGTAGCTGAGGTCAGAGGCGTGGGCAAGGCTGGGTTACGTGACGCTGAAAGGCGTGGTGAGGACTCTGGATTTGCCCTGGGAGGATGGGAGCCGCCAGAGAGCCTCAGACAGAGGAGTGATCTTAACTGATTCTTTAACACAATTCCTGTGGCCACTGAGGAGAGCAGACTGTATTGCTGCAGGCGGAGGAGGCAGACCGGTTAGGAGGTCAGCGCAGTGATCCAGGGGAGGTGGAGGAGCAGATCGGGAGGTCTTCAGGCTGCGGTGGGTTAAATCATTAAAACTGACTCGTATTCTCTAGGGAGCTACTGGTAATTGTGGGAAGTGATAAAATCAGAACTGAAATTTAGGAAAAATAATTAGCACCAGTTTTTATGAAAGACTGAGTGAAAGAGAGATTATACCACAGTTTTTTATGGTTAGAAATAATTTGCTTTTGTAATTTTATGAATATCAAGAAAGAAAAAATAAGTTTATTAGAAGACATCAAAAGACTGAAACAGGACAAACAAGCTCTTGAAGTAGACTTGGAAAAAATGAAGAAAGAGAGAGACCAGGCCAAGGATCAGATTGCTTACGCCACAGGTAAGACCCTGGGCTGGAGCAGCTTACCTTCATATTCATGGCTGTTCTTTATTCTTGAATTTAAGTAACAGCAATTGGATAGTGTGATCAAAATGCTGTTCCTTGAAGTATATCCTAATTTTAGAGACCTTTTTTTACAAATCAGTTGTAATACGTATGTACATTTAATAGGTTTTAGCAGGGGTAATTGCAGGATAAAAGAAAATCAAGGATTATTTTGAATTTGTGGCATTTTATGTGGGATGACAGACATTGTTCACATGTCTGTCATCCCACCTAGATGGTGACCTAGACCTAAAAAGACGAGGGCATAGTCTGTCTTTTTATCCCTGGGTCTGAAACATAGGCTCCCACCTATTTGCCAAATGAACAAATAGCACTAAATTTTGTAGAAAACACAAGGATAAATATGGTATTCCCCACCAGGGAAATCAAAGATAAGAATGCAGAAAAGTTTAATATTTTAAAAATTGCAAATAAACATGATATGGGGTGCTATGTAAGAGTTTCAGAAAGGGAAGGCTGTCATTTGAGCCAGGTCCTGACAGATGGGAAAATTCAGAAGTGGAGTGGGGAGGGGCTGCCCAGGGTGTGTCATGAGCATGTTACTGAGTGTACCTGTGGACTGGAGCTTCAGACGGGAGAGCACAGGACTAGGAAGGTGGATCGGAGGAGCCCTTACCTGCTCAAGTAAGGATCTCTCCTCTGTGGAGGTATAATCTGCAGTGTAAGATACGTACAATAAAGTCCACTAACTGTTTGTAAGAAAACCACATTTACTTTTCTCACTAGTAAAACAGAATAATAATAATAATAGTATCCATCATGTAAGTTTTTTGTGCTAGAAAAAATCATTCATAACAGGCATTCTTTAATGTTTGCAATTGTTACTTCTTAATATAATTATAGGAATTCTTCATTCTTATTATCTCTCAAGTCTAACATTTATTTTTTCATGGAAATAACTTTACTTTTATAATGAAAGTGAGTGGGAAAACAGTTGATTTATCAAAAATTTCTACATAGTCAACTTTGCTGCAGGTTTGAGGATTTGGACTATGAACACAATCTTCAGCTCTCTTTACTAATAGTAGATTAAACTAGACACCACCTTGCACACATCAGTTGTTTTTTACCTCATATTTTTTCATAATGCTTTTATTAGGTAAGCACTGGTTTTCATGTAAAATATTTTAATATATATTTGTAAACATCTGAGATTTTTATGAATATTAAACATTCCCTTATTTTTCCTTAAATTTTATACAAAGCACTTTAATGATAGATGCAACTTAATTTTTCAGTTTCTATTTTTTTTAAGTACCACACATTTACTAATGTTAATATGAAGGTAGTAAATAGCTTACTGGTATTTTATGGATGCAGATAATCCATGCACAACCACTTCTTATGATACTAGTTTATTTCTTTAAATACTGCTAAAAAAGGAAGATGGGGGGTATAAACCCTGCTTTTTTTTCTCCCAAGTAAAAATCTTAAATGACCACTTTAGATATTTGATTTCTACTGTAAAATTTGGAAAATAATGAATTCCTGTCCATTTTTGCAATCAAGACCTTAGGAAAAACAGAAGTACACCTATCTTTATGAAATATTGGGCAGGTTTTTGGGTATCAATATTTTGTACTTTTTGGGGAATATTTTATTTTTTAGTAATTTTTGTCAAATTATAATTTTAAAAGGTACAGCAGAGAATATACCATGCTTTTATATGGGTCCACACCTGTACTTAAGAGGGACCCTGTCCATCTATATACTTTTTGTATAAATTTTTTAAATGATTTAAGTTCTACAAGGTCATAATAAATGCCTCTATAGCTAGAAAAACATTTACCCCTCCCAGTGCTTTGCACTAAAATATACTGTGAAAGGAAACTAGAAAGACTGTAACTGTTGCTGGAAATGTTCTATATTGAATGTACATGCTCTTGTTGGAAAAATGTACTATATGTGATGGAAGTAAACCAGACTCAAAGTTATTTCAGCTAATGGTTGAAACTTAAATGTTTTATTATCAAATTTAAATTTATTCAGTGACTATGAGCAGGTACACTTGAATTATATCGTGATAGTTGTATTTTTAAGAATTAGAGTAATTTCTTTGTAAAGTAATTTAAAAAACAGATATGTTTTTCTACATATGGAAAACTTGTACTTATAGGTCTAACTTTAATGATTAATAGCATAATATATTTAGGGAACTAAATGTTTAGGTGGTATTTCATTTATAAACCATCTTCATTAGTTGCACATTATTAAACTGTATGTTTGACTTAAAAAATATTTTAATATAGTTTATTTCCATATTTTGAAAAATTGCAGTCAAGTTATTGAGTTTATCTTATAGGTGAAAAATTATGTGAAATAAAAATTTTAGAAGAAACACATAAAGAGGAAATCAGTCTTCTGCAAAAAAGATTACAGTGGTTTGCTGAAAATCAGGAACTTCTGGATAGAGATGCAGTTCGGCTTAAAGAAGCAAATGAAGAAATTGAGAAGCTCAAACTTGAGGTAGTCATTTCAGAATGTATTTCTGTAGGTGACCCGTTACCTTCAATAATTAGTTCTTAGCCTTATAAGTGTTCTAGAATCAATATCTAAACTCTGTTCACTCAAATTGCTGGTTTGACATTTGGTTGCATTTAGGTGTGTAGCCTATTTTAGATTAGACTGAGAGTAAATCCAAGCTGCTCGCCGTGCCCTGTCAGGCCCCATGTGGTCTGGATCCTGCCTGCCCAGTCATCGTACCTCAGCCCCAGGAGTCACTGTCCCCCAGCCGCACCAGACCTCCCCCTGGTTCCTGAACATGCCGAGCCTGTTCCACTTGATGCCTCTGGCCTAGGTTCTTCCCTTGTCTCACTCCTTGTTCAAGTCTCATCTCAAACTTCTCCCCAGAGAGACCTTTCCTGACATTCTCTAATCTAATGCAGCCATCAGTGTCTTCCCTGACTCTCTTTCCATGCCTTCACTCTGTTTTATTTTATTCATAGCACTTGTCGCTCTCTGAAGTTATTTTATTCACTGAGTGACTTACTTTGTTAGCTGATCAGCCATCTCCTTTCCCTGGAGTGTAAGTGCCCTGAAAGCAGGGACTTGGCTTGTTTGCCCGCTTTGTCTCCATGCAGTGCCACATCTGGGAATTCATGTATGAGTTAGGGAACCACCATCATGCTGCTCTGCTTGTGTTTCTCTATGTTTTAAATATGCTTCTTAATATGTTCTTTACTTACTGATAGGTCGAGAAACTGAAAGCTGAATCTGGAAATCCATCTCTTCAGCAGAAGATACACTTGAAAGATAGAGCAGCTGATGCCAAAAAAATTCAGGATCTAGAGAGACAAGTATGTATTCAGGGTAAGTTTTCATTAAGGTATTTCATATATAGTGCATTTCTATGTTCTCTTTTGCTCCAGGAGTTCCTACAAAATATATTAACCTGAAAATTCTTGTTTTTATTCATTTATTGTGATATAGAACTGCTCCTACTTTAAATAAACTTGATATGTAATATTTAAAGTAACTAATAAAAGTAGTAAGCAGCATCACTTTATATAATCTGTGGCTTTATACATAAAGGGTTTTTAGACTAATGTGCCTCATTAGATGGTAGAACTATTGATGGAAAGTTATTTTTGCATCCCAGCTCTTTTTAGGCATCTGGGAAGAAGGAAGTAGAAATCTGAAACACTGGGTGTGGAGTTAGAATTCCTTCTGTTGAAAGACAGGTGAGAGAGGAATACAGCAAGGGAGACCCATGAGCGGGGACCGTGGTAGTAGTGCTCGGGAAAGGTGAGACACCCTAGAAACAGCAGGCAGCCTCCCAAAGAGCTGGCCGTAATTTTGAGTTCTTGTTCACTGTACAGGCTTAGAAATATTTCATGGTCAATGTGGCTGGACGACCTTCTTCAAAAATCATAGTACACTGATTAGGGTAAAGATTTTTTTCATTGATGTAGTTTTTTAGGGTGAAATATTAACTTTTTCATTCTACTTTTAAAACTATAAAGTAACACTTTTATTCATAACTAAATATTAAACAAAATAAGGATGTTCAGCCTCATTCATAAGGGAGCAAGATTCTGTAGTCAAGTCATGACACTTAAACATACAGGTATTATTCCATCACAAACCCAAAAAGTGAGGTCATCACTGGGCTGAATATTATCCCAGTTTTATGAGAAAGAAAAAAAAGCAAAATATTAACTTTGATACTTTCACAGGACCTGTTCTTTTATCAAAGGTATAATTTGATAGTTTGGCTCAGTGGCCAGGAAAGAAACAGGACAAAGGTAGTTTGAAGAGCTAGAAATATTCTGAAGTAAGTGTAGTCCAGGATTGCTTGGCATTTTTTCAGTGTTTAAGATTTAGAGTAGCCAGTTTATTTAAAGTGGGAGCAGTTCTATGTCAAAATAAATGAGTAAAAACAAGAATTTTCAGTGTTTAACATACAGAATTATGACAGAGAGAAGACCAAAGAAACTCCCACTCCTCCTGGTAACTTCAAGAGAAGTAATGTAGAGCTGAATGTATTAGAATAAAAAAATAAAGCATGTTTCAAAAGCAAAGTTAACACTTGAAGTGGTGATCCATATTGATGAGAAATATAATACTTTATTAAAGTAAATACTCTTTTTATTAACACTTTCATTAAAAATGTATTGCTTAATCATCTTAGATTATATCTTTCTAAAATATTACTCATTAATACCATTTTATATAGTTTGCTGCATATACATTTCAGATCTTATTCAGTGCCCATGAACATTTCTAGCCTTATGATTTTAAATCTTAATATATATTTTATAATAAATGTATATCACAAAATATCTAGAATCATTTTGGAGCCATATTCTAAAATAGATTATAGATATATACTATAAAATAGATTATAGATACATATGTATGAATTATAAAATAGATTATAATTATAGAGTAAAATATCTTCTTTTCTAAATAGCACATAAGTAAAAATGAAGCTAATTGGAATTGCATGTTACAATGAAAATTTCAGATTACATGCATTCATTCATGCTTTTATTTAATATAGTATTTCACAGGTTAATTTCCAGTGAGAATTTAAAAAATTTTTACTTTGTATGACAGCCACACTGATATCTGTAACCAAAGAATAATATTAAAAAGCAAATCAAAGAAGCTACCAATAAAATCTAATTTTCCCCAAAACTGTAATATACATTTCAAGATATCAAAATTAGGTTGAAAATGTGTCTTAAAATTTTCAGTGAATGCATTAATTATAAGTATATTAAAACACTGATTTAAAAAAAATCTGTCTCTTTTCAATATACATGGTATATGCATGTATATATCTTTACATGCTCACATCTAATTACTAGTTTTTTAATACCAGAGGAAGCAAAACTGAAAATTTTGCAGATGTAATTATCAATATTTTTATCTGTATAAATATTTGTATTTATATCCCAATTTCCATTACATGTATGAATGTGCAAGCAATCTTCATGAATGGAAATATTTGCTATTAGTTTTGCAAATGATGTGACCCTTAAATACCTAACATGAACAATGTTCAGTCTGTAAATAGGATTTTCAGCACCAGCAACCTATCTTGTCTTAGGAAACATCATTTTTGAGACCAGGTTATAATAAAAGCCAACATTATCAAGCCCTTACTATATGCTCTGCTACCTACACATTTTACCGGGAGAAATGTCATTTGATGCTCACATGTTTTCCAAAGATATCTTAAATCATAATATCTTTAGCAGAAACAGATATACACATATATGCATGTATAATAGCTAGCTCTAATCTCTGTGGACCCTGGTGCAGTTCCAGCTTACAGAAAGACCATGTGCTGTGTCATGGTAGACTGAATGAGAAGTGTTGTAAAGACATCATTAAATATCACCTATTCCTCCTTGCTTCCTAATTGAAAGACATCATTTTAAAATAGATTAAACATCTCTTTGAAATCTAAACATGATTGATATAGTATAATGTAAGTTTTATACATTAAACTGCTTAATTTTAATATACATCAGACCTTACAAATGTACAAAAATATTTTAATAGGTGAAGGAAATGGAAGGAATTCTAAAGAGAAGATTTCCCAGTTCTTTACCTGCTTTAATATTGGGTGCATCAGCAGCTGGTGATACAGTGGGCAGAAATACAGTAGAATTTATGGGAAAAAAGGATAAAAATAGTGGAAGCTGATCTGGAGGGCAAAGATGAAGAAGCAAAGAAAAGCCTTTGTACCATGGAACAACAGTTTCAGAAAATGAAGGTCAGCACCAAGTAGCCGTGATGACGGGCTCAGAGGTACCAAGAGGACCGGAGGCTTCTTAGACGGCATTGTAACAAATAGCTGCGATCGTCCTTTCCCACGAAACCTTTGAGTGTTAACAGATGCGAAGGAAAACTAGGTCCGTCCTTTTTGTTTTCCGTCAGCAACTTTTTATTTCCAACATGGAATAATCAAGCAAAGGACAATCTTTACATAAGCCCCTCTCAGTGATATTAGAATTATTTGAAATTAAGTCATGAAAAGACAGAGTAAAACATCTGTTACATATTCAGTATAAATATTTTTCTGAATTACTGTGGTTGAAAACATTTGTCCGAATTTACCTGGACAACGGAGAGGGAATGGGACAGAGAGTAAATTTTTAGAATACAAGAGGCAGGGCAGTGTCTGCTGCAAATGTCTTACTGAGTTTTCTGAGTGCTCATCAGGAATGTATCAGAAAGTACAAGTGCCGCAATGACCAAATATGAAACAGGATGTGATACTTAATTTACTTCCTAAGAGCTTGTTGAGCGCATGGTCTCTGTAGTAATTCATGCCGGACGCTTTCACAGGCGTTTTGGTCCATCCAGTGTAATCTTTCCAATCACCTGTGAGAAATAGATCCTGCTGACTCACCTTGCAGATCAGGGACCTGAGATGTTCGCAGTTTAACTCCCGCCCGAGGTTCTGCCGCTGGCGAGACGCAGAGCAAAGCCTCCAACTTCGCGCTGCGTTGCTTCTAGGACGCGGACCTCATTCCTCATGGGTTTCTGTCCTCAGAGACGCAACGGTGGTAGAATGCTAAGTTTCAGAAACAGGAAAAGGTTGAAAACCTGGAAGTTCCTTGGCCTGCTAGTTAAGGTCTTACCAAGGTTTCCTTTACCCCACCCTCTTCAAATCTTTCTGCCGCTTACCTGGTTCATTTTCTTTTCTCACTTCCCTAAATTCTGAGTTGCTCTCCTCCTTTAACCACCCAGTTTTCAGCTTCCCTAACTTAGCCTCTGATGTACTGTTAATTATGCCACTTTTACTCCTAAGTTTCTTTCAGTTCCTCTATTCCTTTTCATCACCATGTCACTCTCCTACCGTCATTAATAAAAGATGGCTCAATTACTGTTGGAACCTCCCGACTAGTCTACCCATACCCACCTCATTCACCCCATTCTCTAATCAGCTCTTGACACCAAAGGCAAAATCATATTGTCATCTCTTAACACACACACACACACACACACACACACCTGTCTTTGTTTATACCCCTCAATGACTTCCTGTTCCCTTTAAGATAAATAAATGGCCTGTGAAGGCACATACGGGCAGGCCCCTTTGTGCCTCCCCACGCCATGCGTCTGCTGCCCACTCACATTGACCTATTTATCCCCCTTGCCACGTGTCTTTCAGCCACAGTAATTTGTGTACTCTGCCCTCTGATGGTACTCTCGGCCCTCTCACAGTTAGGGCATCCTGTCCAGCTCTCAAAACAAGCATTGCTTCCCCTGTGAAGCCTTCCCTGGACTCGCAGGCAGACAGATTCCCTCTATAAGCACTGCATCCCGCACCCCTCCCCTCCACTGCATCCACCCCATCTGGAGGATCGTGAGTGACCTCTCCCCATCCAGCTTCTGGGAGTCACGACCACCCCACTTCTGCTCTCTGTTGTATTCCACCACTCAGCAAAGTACCTGACACAGAGTAGATGCTCAAACACTTTAACTAGTTAATCCAAAATTTGTAAGGTTATCAGGAGGATTGAGTGGCAGAGTGTATGTAAAGCCCTTGTGTCATACCTGGAGCACAGCAGACACTCAAGAAATGATTGCAATAATTACAGTTAATATTCCACTGACCAAAAAGAGGCATAAATTCCAACCCATGACCCCATTTTTATATATCTAAATCTACCCATCCATTTTTCTTGTTTGCAGTCCCTGACCACATCTCACTCCTGCCCTGGTTACTTCCTGCCTGTTCCTCTTTCATTTCTGATTCCCAGTACACACCAACCACTTGCTTGTCTTTATACGGCTCTTCCTACTTCCAAAATGTCCCTGCCTCCACTTATCCCCAAATTTATACTCATCCCTCATGGCTGAACTTAAATGTGTAGTCTGCCCACCTTCGCTCAGACATCCAGATAACTCAGGTGCCTCGTCCCCCCTGCATCAGGAGGCCCACCATCCCAGTCACAGGACTCTGCAGCTACTGCCGTGTCACTCTCCTTAATCAGGCCAGGAACTCGTAAGGCAAGAACTAACTTTCTTTCCCTCTAGAATCTGGCACAGTGCCTGGCATTCAGCAGTAACTCAATAAATACTCATTAAGTAAATGAACAAACACTACTGCACCTCCCTACACAGAGTAAAGTATTAGATTATTACTTTTACAATACTAAAGCTCCAGTAAATAAATTCCAAGCTGACTTACTACCTAGGAGATTTCTAAGTTGATGTTAGAAAGTTGAAACTGTGCTATTTCTTAAAGACTTCAATACCAGCAGTTGCTTTCGCTATTCATCATCAGAGTATAGTTTGCATAGAGAAGGATACACAATAATAAGTTTGATTGTGAGATTTAAAATAAGTTCTGGGGTATACAGAATGTCTAATGTAGTGTTTATAAAGCAAAATATCTAATGTAATGTTTATGAAACAAGTTACTTATGAAATTATATAAAATACCTTGAGAATATACAATGGTATGACCTTCTAAGACTGGGATTTCAATACGTAACAGACTCAAGGAACATGGAATTGGAGGCATCAGGATATGTGATGACTGCCTGAATGAATGAATGGGAAAACGCAGGCCTTCAGTGACTAGTGAAATGTGTAGCAGTGGTTTGGCATTACATGGATTCTTTCCTTTCAGATTCGGTATGAACAGAGACTAGAGGAGCAAGAGCAGCTACTTGCCTCCAGATTGAGGGGAGCACCTCAGAAACAGCGTGGGGACCTCTCCAGAGTTAAAGCACTAGAGAAGGAACTCAGCGACATGAAGGAAGCCCATCAAGTCACTGTAAGAAACCTTGAAGCTGAGATAGGAATTCTTAAACATCAGAAAGCTGAATTGGGACTCAAAAAAAAAGATTGAAAGATGATAAAGATTTCCAGTCTATAGAATTCCAGGTGGAACAGGCTCATGCCAAAGCTAAATTGATGAGGCTTAATGAGGAGCTGGCTGCAAAGGGGAGAGAAATACAAGACCTTTCAAAAACCGTGGAGAGGCTTCAGAAGGAGAGAAGGACGATTCTCTCTAGTCAGAGTTCCCAGGGCAGAGAGGAAGCGACTACAAACAGGGTGAAGAAAGGCGTGCCTGCAGGGAAAGGGGACGCGCTCTCCTCCTCTGCAGCGCTGGGGGGCAGACTTTACCAACCAGATGCTTTTACAGGTTCCCATCTTTCAGAGGTTTTACAGGAAAACTGCAGATTGAAAAGTGAACTGCAGAGATTAACTGTAGAGAGGAATGAGCTGCAGATGAAATCTGATGTAGCAATGAATCAATTTGAAGACTCCATGAAAAGGTAAAATGTGAATTCAAAAATACATGGGGACATGAAAAGATAAAAATTTGAAAATTGTAAGATGTATTTCTTCCGGTAATTTGTTTGACCCTTAACTGAATTTATTACCAAATCACATTGCTAAGCATAGATCTGTTTCAGAGTGAGATCCTCTACCTGTGCCCAGAATCCGATGAACTGGACTCTCCACGTCAAACCAAACCATGCACTTGGGCTGACCAGTCCTGTTTTTCTGCTAGTGTCCAAATGGTGTTGATAAGCTGACCCATTGGGCCCTCTTACAAACGAGTATAATAATTTATAATTACCACAGGAAAATGCTGTCACAAAATAGCCACTATTAAAACTAGTGATATTCTAAGAGGAAAAGGTCCTCTTTTCCCAAATAATTCTTCTTATTAGTCTAGTGATCACACCCATTCATTCCTTGAGGAACGTGTCTGCTCATCCCTTGCTTCCCCAGAGTCTCAGATACTATCCACGGCCTCTCCCCTGAGCCGCCCCACATGCTCAGACCTTTGCACTTGATCAAACCAAGTGCTGGTCCTCTTTCAGCACCACTTTGCCGCCAGCAGCTTCTTTTATTTCTGCCTCACTTATTCTTAAATACGGCTCTCATCCTCACCCCTCTTGGAAACCTGGTCTCTCAGGAACGACCTTTCCGGGTCAGCGTGGTTTTCCGTGACGTTGTTGACCACACCGCCTTTCCTGAAACGGTTTCCTCCCTTAGCCTCCATGACTCAGCAGCTCTGACCGAAATTCCTTTTCTCTTCCCTTTAACTGACTCCTGACTCTCATTCACCCTCCTTGAAAATCCGACTTTCTGCCACGGTTTCAGTTTTAGACTTTCTGTTTATTTTTCTCCATTGCTAAACTCATCACTCATATGGCTTTTATGAGCCATGACGTTAGATTTACTTTGCAAGACTTGTTCTCTTCCCTGGGTTCATATACATGTGTATATATATTTTTTCCTTTGGATTCTTCCTCTTGTATCTCAAATATTATCTTTTCTACCTGTGAACTAGGTCCTCCTCCCAGCTTCCTCATCTCTGTTTATAACCATATTTTTTCAATTGCCAGGCGCAGCTTTACTTCCTTCATTTCTTGGGTTCCGTTTATGGGGTACTTTAGAAATAGGTCCCATCTTGCTTTCCTCCGAACTACAGTGCAGCGGCCTCCCTAGTACGCCAGCCGGTGCCCCACCCTGACCACCCTGGTTTTGGTTGCTGTCTCCCCCATTCGTCTTGCTTAAAAACCGTTAGTATTCTTTAAGCACTCCTGTGTCTGAGTTACTCTGTTCTCCACTGACTCCCAGCTTCCTGAAGAATCAAGACTGAATTTCTCTGCCTGGTGTCACGAGTCCCCATCACTGGTCTAATACTCCACTGTGGGGCTCACTGTACTCGCTGCCTCTTGAATGTTTCAAGCCCTACTTCTTCCACCAAATACTTCCCTGAGCTTCGCAGGAAGTGTCCTGCTCCCACTTCCGACTCCTGGGTGACCTGTGATGTGTACCGAGAAAGCACTGTCCGCACACAGCCTTGTAGCGCCCGGGAACTGATGTAAGATCACACTTACTCTGCAACCTGGTGTAGGAGCAGAATGAGCATCCGGAGCGCCCAACAAATGCTTACTGATTGATTGGCAGCCACACGCGACTGAATCATCGTGGCAACTATACTGCCTCCAAACTGAAACCTTGTTTCTTTAGTCCTGAATGCAATAGTAGCAGTGGAGCTGTTTGGAAGGAATCACATGTTTTCCTAGAAATAATTTAAAATAAAGATTTTTCCTATAAATTGTCCTAAACATAATTGGTAATTTTTTTAGTATTGTCAGTCTGATTCTCAGATAACTCGGCCTGAGAAGTGAGGAGTGATCTTTCCTAGTCCCAGATTTTAGGTTGTTTTTTCACTTTAGATCAATTACATCATGGGTGCTTTAGCTGTTTATGCTTTTCCTAGGACCCTAATCATGAAGAAATAATTCACATAGTCAAGTAAGTGATTGGTAAATTTGTTTATAGTTTGGGAATTTCCATATTAATATATATCAACAATGACTTACTAAGTACCTGCTTTGAGTCCAAACCATCATTTTAAAATTATTTTCCCAATAAGAGATAAAATGTTTTTCTGTAAGAAATGTATCCAGTCTTTAGTCAGAACTTCACCATTTACTAACTGCCTCTGAGTTCATAGATTTTGCCACAGAGAAAAACCAATGATTTCTCACACTTAATGGTCCAAATGAATTAGGTGCCGATTACCCTGGGCCCTGATAATCGCCATCACTATTGTTGTGATGCAGGAGTCACATGCATAGGCCAGAAACTGAGGCATGTTGCCTAGAGACAAAGCATTGGAGATTCTGTAGGGAACTGAGGTTACCCAAATAAAAGTCTGCACAAAAAATCTGAGTTTATCTTAAAAGGTAAAATGTCAAGCCCTTTGCTTTAAATCCACGCAGACATTTAGAACCTTTAATTCCTTCCAAAAGTTCAGCCCCAGACGAGTCAAATGGAAGGCCCAGATTCTGAGGTCCAACTCTGCTGGGTTTGAACCCTGACTCTGCAGGTTAGTGATCTAGACCCCAGGTACATCACGCATTCGTAAACTCAAGTTTGTCCTTATAAAATTCAGCAAATAATAGCAAGCCCGTGGAATGGTTCTAAGAACTCAGAGGCAATAATGCATAAAGCTCCTCACACAGGACAATACTGGGGCACGCTCTCCCTTTGCTTCTCTAAGTTTCAGGCTTCTTACACTATTTTTGTGCTAACTGAATTGAAGAGCTGCTTTTATGTGTGGTTTTCTTTAATTTGCTCTACAGGATCAAGGAAGATGCTGCAGCACACATCACGTCTCTCAAAGCCTCTCATCAGAGGGAAATAGAGAAACTCCTTTGCCAAAATGCATTAGAAAATTCTTCTTCCAAAGTAGCCGAATTAAATCGCAAACTAGCAACTCAAGAGGTAATGACTTAAACAAGCTTTCTTTGGCTTTAACATGATTGTTTTCAGGACTGTTCACTGAACATTATTTAATTGGAAAATATTTTTGACTTTACTTTTTTGAGGTTGGTAATGGAAATGTGAAATGATTGGCTTTTTGTTAATAGGACAAGATGCCATTACCATATGCTTAACTATTGTACTTTAAAATCATACCCTTTAAATATCTGATTTTACAGTTTTGTCCCTACATTTCTCAAACAGGTCTTCTCCTAAGTTAGTTGTAATGGATGATCAAGACCTTGGTACTTGAACTTGAATGTTGAACTGTTTCCCTCCTTCCCAAGCCCCAGCTGACAAGTAATTATCCTGGTCTTTCTTCCTGCCCCATTACTTTTCATTCATTAAACAAATAATGATTCGGCGCCTACAGTCAGGCACTGGGGACAAAATAATGAACAGAGGGATAGACACAGTTGTAGCCACAGTTCTAGTATTATGAAGCATAGTCTCTAAGAATTACGACCGGGTAGCTGACAGCTCATCCACATTTCCTTGAATAAATGTATTTTCCTTCTTGGTTAGTGTATATATCTACTTGGAATATCTATGAATATCTACTGTTTGGCCCATCTTCTGTGCTTGTTAGCAAGGTGAAAACACAGCATTAAAGTAGAATTTATAGCCCCAACTTATTTTCAAATCATGTGCCCAGAAAAGAAAAAGGAAAAAGCACATGTGGCAAGAAGGTAGCAGTTTGTAAATCAAGTATATTTTCCTTCTTGGTTAGTGTATATATCTACTTGGAATATCTATGAATATCTACTGTTTGGCCCATCTTCTGTGCTTGTTAGCAAGGTGAAAACACAGCATTAAAGTAGAATTTATAGCCCCAACTTATTTTCAAATCATGTGCCCAGAAAAGAAAAAGGAAAAAGCACATGTGGCAAGAAGGTAGCAGTTTGTAAATCAAGTAGAAGAATATATGAATATTCATTGTACTCTTCTTTTCTGTAGGTTTTAATTGTAAAACACAGGCTGAGGGGGAAAACTTCAAGAATAATTATCTCACCACCACCTCTCTCATCAATAATTATTTAATAGTCTGGATTAAAAACAAATCCCTTAATTGGGAAAGTTTAAATATGAACTGGATATTAGATATTTTGAGATTATTATAAATTTTCTTAGGTATAAAAATGTTATTGTGGTTTTATGAGAAAATGCCGTTATAAGAATGCATGTTGAAATATTTGGAGTATTTAGGGTGAAATGTAATGAGGTTTGTAATTGAATTTCAAGTAGCTCAGAAAAACGAATTGAATATTTCAATGAAAAAGATGTAAAGTGCTTTACAAAAGTAACCATTATACAGCTTTGCAAATAACTTGTCTAGCTTCTTCCCACATAGGAGTGGGACGGTAGTGGGCAGCGTAAATATTATATCAAATGACTACAGTCTGGGAGAGGCAGGAGGAGTGGTGGCATTGTGCTGGAGGGCCCTAAGGATTATTTTCCCAGAGTTTTAAGTGTAACATGGTAAATTGTGTGTTAAATGAAAGTCAGCACAGTCTGATCATAAAAATAGTAATTTTTAAAAAAGCATTAGAGATAAGAAATAAAAATGTTCCCTAAGTTTTTTCAGTTTCTTGATGGAAGTATTTATAAATTTTGGTTTCTTTGTCTAAAAATACAAGTGACAGTTATTTCACAGATATTATTAGGCTTATGTTATCTTTATTCAGTCAATTGCCCTTTAAAAGAAACATTGTCCTACTTATTCCCAGTGTTACAAAGATAACTGGTCACTTTTCAAAATGCTTGGACTTTATGGAGGTTTATTTTAAAAGGTATTTTTTTGGAACTTCAGAAGAAGATTACTAAAGAAACCAAATAGATTCATATTCATTAATTTGTGATATGTATGATGCTTTATATTAAATATTGAAAAAAATGAAATAAATTTATTCTATGAGTTTAATTAATTCAACAAACTTTATTCCTGTGGCAGTTTATTTCTGACATTGAATTTGGTCATTTTAAAATATTAAGAGCCTTTTAATATTTTAGTACAAAAAAAGTTGGCTTTCTTTGTTTCTCAAATAATATTCAAGGAAAAACTTATTTACATTGTACTTCTAACATAATTTCCTAGGTACTTATAAAGCATTTCCAAAATCAGGTTAATGAGCTGCAGGGTAAACAGGAGTCTCTTGTAGTTTCTCAAGTTCGAGAAGAAATTCTACAGAAAGAGGTAAGAAATAACCAAAATATTGGGCCAACATAAACATTTCTTAACTGTTTCAATCATATTCATCTTTATGTAGAAATGCTTAACTTAAATGTAGAAATAGATATAACCTGAAAATACCTGTCACCTGTCAAGAACATATTTGTAACTTCTTTATGGAAAGAATGCTTTCTCCAGATGAAGCTCAAATATTTAACTGATTAACATATATTTGTATTTGTTGTTGAGATTTTTTGGGCAATGGGGAATTGAATGGTTAAGGCCATTTCTACATTAAGTACTACACTATTTAATTTGGTAAAGAAATAGGTAAAGCAATCATGGCAGTGATGCTGGATTACCCAGGACAGTATCACCACAGGAAATAGATCTCCCTGGAGATATACCATTTTTATGACTCTAAGATCCTTTTGTTTCTAGAAAGTCCAAAAAACCAGATAAACTGCGCTTTCTATTCTTTGAAGCATATACACCATTTTTTATTACTAAGGGATTTATTAAATTAGCACAAGCAAAACATCCAACTAATTGTATTATGAAATGTTAATATATTTGTGAGTTTCCCTCATTGATTTCTTGTTTCATACCATTATGGTCAGAGAAGATACTTGATATGATTTCAGTCTTCTTGAATTTGCTAAAACTTGCTTTGTGGCCTAACATATTTTCTGTTCTCAAAAATGTTACATGTGATTGAGAAGAATGTGTCTTCTACTGTTGCTGAATTGAATATTCTGTCTATGTCTGTTATGTTCATTTGGCTTATAATGATGTTTAAGTCTCCTGTTTCCTTATTCTGTTTCTGGGTGGATTATCCATTGTTAAGAGTGAGGTATTAAAGTTCACAACTATTATTGTACTGCTGTTTATTTTTCTTTCTAGCATTCATTTTTTGCTTTATATATGTGGGTGCTCCAAAGTTGGATGCATAAATAATGGATATGATTGGTGTATCTTCTTCAAAGATTTACCTCTTTGCCATTATATAATGACCTCCTTTGTCTGTTTTTACATTTTTAGTTTAAAGTCTGTTTTATGTAAGTATGGCTACACCTGCTTTGTTATTGTATACCATTTGTTCGAATATCTTTTTCCATCCCTTCACTCTCAGTCTATCATTGGATCATGTTTTTTGTTTGTTTTTTTAAATCTATCCTGCCATTTTGGGAGTTTTTTTTTTAACTGGAGACTTTAATCCTTTTAAATTTAAAGTAATTACTGATAGGTAACAATTTGCCATTGCTATTTTGTTCATTATTTTCTAGTTTCTTGTTTCATATCCTTCCATTTTTTGGTGTGTTTTGATTTTGGTACCAGTACGCTTTTACTTCTTTATAGTCATCTGTGTAAATACTAAGGTTTTTCCCATGTGGTTACCACGAGGCTTACATAAAATATATGTAACGTAATCTTAAATTATAACACCCTCTTTTAAGCTGGTAACAAGTTAACTTCAATAGAATTCCTAAACTTCACATTTGTACTTCTCCCTCTCCCAGTTTAGGTCATTGATGTTATGGTTTATATCTTTTATACCATTTAATAGCAGATTATTATAACTATGGTTATTATTACCACAGTTGTTTAACTCTTAGAGTTATAAATGAATTATGCCCCACCATCACCATATTACAAAATCTAACTTACTCTATATATATCATTATCAATGAGTTTCACATTACCTTCTTAAGTTTTTGCAGCATTAGTTACCATTCTTTTATTTCCCCTCAAAGAATCCCCTCTTTGTAAGGCAGGTGTAGTGGTGATGAGCTCTTGCAGCTTTTGTCTGTTCAGAACCTATAGTTCTGAGGAACAACTTTCCTATGTGTAGAATTCTTGGTTGACAGTTTCTTTCAATATTTTGAATCTGTCAGCTAGTTCTCTGCCCTGAAACACTTCATTTAAGAAATCCACAGATAGTCTTATGACAGTTCCCTTGTATATAAATTTTTCCTCTTCTCATGCTGCTTTCAAAATTCTTTGTCTTTGACTTCTGACAATGATGGTGTGTCTCCGTGTAGCCCTGTTCAGGTTCAACCTCCTTGGGGTCAGTTGGCTTCACAGATCTGGATATCCACTTCTCTCCCCAGATTTGGGACATTTCAGCCATTATTGCTTTAGGTATACTTTCTGACTCTTTCTCTTCCTCTGGAATTACCATAATGTGGATATCGTTTTCTTTTAATTGTGTCCATAGGCTTTCTTCATCCATTTTTATTTTCCTTTTTGCTCCTCTGACAATTTTAAATTGCCTGTATTCTGGATTGTGGGCTCTTGTCTTCTACATGGTCAAGTCTGCTGTCCAGGCGCTCTTGGATTCTTTAGGCCAGTCATTGTATTTTCAGCTCGAGGATTTCAACTTGTTTTGGAGTTTTTGATGGTTTTGATTTCTTTGTAAAACTTCTCATTTTGTTCATGTATTGTTTTCCTAATTTTGTTTAGTTGTCTGTATGTTCTTGTTCTCTAAATTTAAGAGTTCCTTGATAGTTCATAGATGTCCATTTCTTTATGGTTGATTCCTGGAGCTTTATTACTTACCTTGATGGCAGTTTCCAGATTTTCATGGTCCTTGATTCCTTTTTCGTTATCTGCATATTTGAGAAACCAGTCTTCTCTTTAATATGTTACAGGTCTGACTTGGCAGAGACAGTTCTTCCCAGTCGGCTCAGTTTGGGCTTCTGGGTGTGTCTGCTGGTAACATTCCTGGGCAGGCGGAGCGTGCCCTGGGGGCCTGTTTTTGGGTGAGGCCACTGCCCCGGCTCTCAGGCTGGGTGAGTGGGGTGCCGGCTGAGCACAGCTGGGTGAGATTTCTGCCTCGGTTCCCTGCCAAAGTGAGGCAGGAGGAGGATGGCCTAGTGTGAAATTCTTGGTTGGATTTTGTCCACTGGTGGGAAACCCTGGTTGCCTGAGTTCTCCGGTCAGGCTCACTAGCCTCTCATGACTGAGGGTTATATTCAGCAGTAGGTGGGGCTATGGGCCCCATCAAGGCCTGCTCAGCTCGGTGTTTGGAGACCCAAACCAGGCAAGACCTGTGCCGTGCATTCTCTGGCCAGACAGAGTGAGTGAGAGTCTGTGCTCTCTTCAGGTGCCTTTGTAAGCAGGGCTGTTGCAGGTTTGCACAGCTTCCCGTGTGTTGCGGTTGGACCCGCGGTCAGGCAGGCTGAGAGCTGTAGGCAGCAGTGGTTGGGGGCCTTCAGTCAGTCTCCTTCCTGGTTCAGGCCGTGGGAGACCCAGCTCCAATACCAGTGACGTTCTTTGTCTGTGGTCCTGACCCAGCCAAGCAGCCTAAGTACCCTGGCCAGACAGGTCACTGGCTTTGCTCTGCAGACTGTCAGCTCTGACTTCCATACTCTGCTCTAGTGTCGCTGGGCTACTCAGCTTTCCAGATGTTCCATCAACTTCCTGGTCGGGTGGTCCAGACCATGACTTAGCTCACATACCTAGGAGGGTACAGACCAGGCGCCAGGGCTGGCAAATCTCTTCATTCAAGGACCCAGATCAGGAGACCTACACCCTCACCCCACTACCTTGTCAGACGGCACCACTGACTTGGTTCTACACATGAGCAAAACTGCCAGTTGGGATCGCTGTCCGGGTGCTGCAGGTCTGCCATGGAACTCAGTCTGCCATCCGTACTCTGCTCTAGTGTCGCTGGGCTACTCAGCTTTCCAGATGTTCCATCAACATCCTGGTCGGGTGGTCCAGACCATGACTTAGCTCACATACCTAGGAGGGTACAGACCAGGCGCCAGGGCTGGCAAATCTCTTCATTCAAGGACCCAGATCAGGAGACCTACACCCTCACCCCACTACCTTGTCAGACGGCACCACTGACTTGGTTCTACACGTGAGCAAAATTGCCAGTTGGGATCGCTGTCCGGGTGCTGCAGGTCTGCCATGGAACTCAGTCTGCCATGACCCCAGTGCCAGGGTTCTCACCAGCCCCTCCCTACTTCTCCATCACAGTCAGACTCCCAGTAGTCAGTCCTCACGGAGTCCCCCATAATCTCCATGGGGCAAGACCAGAGTTGGGGCTTCCAGGAAGTAACACACATGCTGCGGAGCTGGATCTCCATCCTGGGCTCTCCTGTCCACCTGGAGGAGCCACAGGCTCGGGAGATCTCTGTCGGTGAGGTGTCACCAGCCTGGCAGAGGGGCGGTGTGGGCAGCATGCAGCTGCTGCTCCTACTTTTCTAATATGGCCTGTCTTGGTCGGGCTGGTGCAGGAGTGTTTCAGCCCCAGCCTCGTGTTCCAGGATTCTCTTGTTAGTGGTGTCTTGTCCATGAATGGCTGTTAGCTATTCTTGTGAAGGGGAGCAGGAATAACCTATGTCACCATCATGACATCACCCATCCCATCTTTACATCTAATATGTCTTTATTACCACTTTTGCTATACATTTGTATAATAGTCATATAGTAATAATAAGCATTTGTTTAGTATGTACTAGGCACTGTGTGAAGTGCTCTGAGTTTCTCACCATAACCCAGAAGTATTGTTATTATTCTCCTTTTATAAATGAAGACATTGATACTATGAAAAATGACATAACTTGTCTGAGGCTTACCAAGCAATATGTAGAAGTGCCAGCATTAGAATCTAGGGCCTCTGATTCTAGCTCCCAGGCTCCTAATTACAGTTTACCAGTGCCTTCCCATTGGACATTCAGGCTGTTGCCATTTGGTACCACATAGTTTTTTGGTAGTATCAAGTAGCAGGAGGCATTTTTGATCATCATGCTTTTTTTACCTATGTGCCCATTGACCTCCAGAGAATAATAAATTCACTGAACTACAAGGATTTTCTTAAAAATATTCAACTTTATACTCTTTAAGAGTTGCCTTTAAATAAGTACAAATGAAGGGACATTTTGTCTTTGTCTAGAACCAAGTTTCTAAATTTATGTGATTTACAAATGAATAATCAGTGAAAGGTGAATTCATTAATTAATTCATGAATAATTGTTAAACACTCTCTGCCATGCATAGCTACAGGTGGTGGGAATACTGAGAACAAAGTAGGGAAATTCCTGCTCTCATGGAGCTTATGCTTTACTTGGGGAATCAGACAATAAATGTAAGGTTTGATAAATAAAAGTAACTGAGACAACATGTATAAAGTACTTAGCATAGTGCCAAGCACATGATAATGTCATGACTTAGTACTACTTGTCATTTAAGAATCAGTTTAAACATAGCTGCGTCCAGTGAACAGGCCTCCACTCTAAGTTCTGTGTCCCTCCTGCATCCCC